TCGTCTGTGCCTGTGTCGCCTGTATTCGAAACGATGCTGCCTACCTAGATAGGTGAAAGAGGCTACTTCCTTCAAGTTTCTTCTGTTGATAGTGATTGGAGCTTGTTACTATTGATGGTAGTGGTGTTGGTTGGGTATCTTCATCACCCCTATCTTCTCCACCTTCACTTGAAGTCCCGTCTTCACCGCCCTGTCTCTTCTATCAACTTGTTAGTTTTCACCTGTAGATCTTCAAGTTTGAGTGACATTAGACATGAGTCATCGGCGAAACCCGAATCTTCTTCTAGGAGTTTTTCCCCGGTCAAGCAGCGTATCCCACTCTTCTCGCTGCTCACGGTTTGTTGCATGATCCAGTCCACTACAATCAGGAATATCATGGGTGATAGTGGGCAGCCTTGTCTTACTCCTATCTTCACTTCCCATTGTGAATTACTTGGCATGTGGCATCTTCATATAGTTGTTGAATGAGGTTGATAAAGTTTTGTGGTATTCTGTAGTGTTGAAGCAACTGCCAAATTACTTCTCGGTCGGCGCTGTCAAAGGCCTTTTCAAAATCGATGAAGTTGAGATAGAGGGTTGACTGCCATTCTATACTCTGTTCTATGATCATGCGTAGCATAGCGCTGCCATTTGGTCCGAACATGACTTGTACCTCCTTAAGCCAGGCAGCCTGTTCCAGTCGTAGTTATGAATCCAGCACATCCTTTGTGTCTCCAGAATGATACGGCATAATATTTCGCTTGGGGTGGACAGGAGTGGAGCATGATTCCGTGCCAGTTCTTGCAAAAACTTAGGTCGCCTTTCTTCAGGAGTTTGAGAACGTAGCCTTTCTTCCAGTCGCCAGATACCTTTCGTTCCTTCAAGACCTTCTGCAATAGTGATGTGAGCATATCCACTGTTGTCCCTGCGTCTGTTCTCAGTGCTTCTGGATGAACTGTATCTGGTCCTGTTGCTTTCCCGGATCTCAGCAGCTTTATGGCATTCAGGACTTCAACTTTTGTTGTAGTTCTGTGGCTGGGCTGCATTTGGTATTTCTGGACGAGTTGCAGGTGGTATTGGTGGTAGTCGATTCAAGAGCTTTTCGAAGTGGTCAGCCCAGTGTTTCTTTTGTGTCTCGTCTTTGGTAATTAGATTTCCTTTATCATCTTTTATTGGTTTCATCTGTGTTGATCTCTTCCCTACCAGATAGTAACCTGGTTATTTCATACAATGTTTTTAGGTCTCTGTCTCTCTTACCAGCAGCCTGTTCTGTTTCACTTGCCAGTGTGCCGTAGAAGTATCTTTTGTCTTTGCGCGCACTCCCCTTCACTTCCTTGTCCAGTGTTTTATAGGTTATGTCCAATTCCTGTTTTTATTATTCATCCTTGCACTGGTTTATCTTCTGGTTCACAATCCTCCTCTCCTCTATCATCTTCCATGTGTCCATTGAGATCCATTCCTTATCTTCTTTCTTCTTCCTCCCTAACACGGTTATGCAGGTTTCATTCCACTCAGCTTTCAAGGAGTTCCAGTGCTCATCCACACAGGTTTCTTCAAGGATGTTGCTCGATACCTCCCATTTAGTCTTGATGGCTGACGTGTAGTTTGTAGTTTTGTCTTTCAGTTTCTGGGTGTTGAACTTGAACTGTGGTCTGTCGTCAACTTCCTTGAAGGCTTTCAACTTGATTTGGAAGGTAGGTTCCTTGTACTAGATAGTGAGGGGTATGAACCTACATCTGCTCCCCTTCCTGACCTAGTGTCAAGTAGGCTACGTCTCCACTATCTTCACACTGAGATGAAGTCGATCTGATTTTTAGTGTAGTTTGTCCATCTGGTGAAATCAAATCCATGTCACTGCCTTGTGAATATCCTCGTGTTAATAAATACTGCCCCCAATCACCAAGTCAGTAAATGCGCAAACGTCTGCAAACAGTTCTCCATTCTTACTCATTTCACCGAGTGCTTCTCAGCCCACGGTTGGTTCTCTTCCTGTGTTGTCCACTCTTAGTTCGGTATTCATGTCACCTCGCCTATTAGAATTTTGATGTCTCCAACTGGGGTCTTGTCCAGTGTTGATTGAAGTTGTCTGTAGAATTCCTCTTTCTTCTCTCGATCTGCATTATTTTAGGTGCGAAGCATTGAATGATCGTGACTTTCGTCCTTTTGAGTTGAATCTTGCTGTCATGATCTGATCCTGCAGGAGGAGATTGGTTCCCACTGCATGAGAACCTTCAATGCTCTTGGGGATATCATGATAGCCACTCCCTCAGTGTGCTCATGGTTGTCGTCTTGGTGACCGGAGTAGATTATTGATTCTCCAGTTGACAGTTGAGAGAGTCCACTTCCATTCCACCTGCTTTCGCAGATTCCAAGCACTTCCATGCCATACCTCCACATGTCTTTGGTAATCTGGGCAGCCTTACTCGGTTCATTCATGGTGCAGACATTGCAAGTCCCCATGTTTACTTTCGCTTTCACTGGGAGAATGGACACATATCGGCCGACTGGCTTCCTGAAGGCTTTCGCCATCTGGCGTCATTTCGTCTCCCTGATTACAGCAAGAAATAAGTTTGATTTCATTTTTTATATTTTGTCTGTGCTTTGAAGCCGCTTCAGAGGTTGGATTGGTTTTACGTGGTAGGGTTGCTAGCCCCTATGCCCAACCTTCCCTCTTTATGCGGGCTCAGGACCGGCTAGTTACTAGTGAACTAGTTAACCAGATGAAGTTAACTCTGATTATTAAAACAAACAAACTAACAAACGAACAAATAACATTGTAACTTGAACAAAATATTTGTTAAATTAACGCTCTCGATTACAAAATTGTTTTACATGAGAAGTGAGAAAAATAACCTCAAAACTTGTCGATTAGTCAATTTTGATATGAATAAAATTAGTCTAAATTTCTTTGTAATTCTCATTTCTTTCAGGGGACCTTCATCAAAAGGATTAATGTGTATGAGATGATTAGTCTTCCTTCTTTTTCTTCTTAGTTTTTTCTTCACTAGGAAAGATACTTTAAAGGGTGATTAGTCTTACAACATTCACTTGATTTTGTTAATTTACTATATGGCTAATTTAGTATTCATTTATACAATTATAAAGGAAAGAAAGAGAGATGTGAAAAGAAAAGGATTTTAAAGAATTAACAAGTAGGACTGGAGATGAGGATTCCCTTTTATCGCCTCCATTTCATTGGCTAAATATGATACAGTAAAGAGTTGTCCTTTACTATAACTATTATTCAAGCCTAGTGATTTTGATGAATAGCAACCTAAGAAAGGTGTGATATTGAGCCAAATGGAGTGTTTTTTGAACAAGTAACGTTTTTGAATTTCAATTGACTAGGATATTTCATATGTACATGTCACACTATGTTCAGTCATTCATAACAATACAACACATCATTTAAGTAATGAAAGAAGAAGAAGAAGAAGAAGAAGAAGAGGACGTAACCAGTGTCATATTGTTCCACATACTTCTATCATCTTCTTAAAGAAACTTGGACAACATTTTACACAGATTAAATTGGATTTATTTTATTCTAAATAAATAACTAAAATGATTCATATATTGGTGGGTAACTTCATTCATTAGAAGAGATTTTCACGAAGGTGTTGGTATATACGAATTGTAGACATTGACACAGAACTGAAATGAAATTATAAACCATTTCAGTTATCCTTAAGGAATTCTCTGCTTTTGAATATATTAGTTATGAAGTACAAGTTTATCAATGGATGGGTACCAATCATGTTGTGATTCTCCAGTTATGCATTGTCCTTAAGCATTCGAAGGCAAATGAATGTGGTTAATGATTAGAAAGGAAGAACCAATGACTACTAATCAATGCTGAACATCGAACGTATAGAAATACTACAACATTTGTCAAATTAACATTCAGCTGGGGAACCAATGATCCTATAGCTAGCCCGTTAGCATTCAGTCACTGAACAGGACTCGGATGAGTCACATTTTTCTGCTTTTATCAATTTTTTATATAGCGTGAGTAGTTGTCTTCAAACTCCACCTAGTTGGTCCCAAAGGTCGTCGTTTCCTACTGGAAGTATAGAAAATTCACCACAAAGAATTCTACCGATGTCAAGTTGACAGTAATTCAATCCGGAGGTTTTTGAGGATTGATAAATTTCATCACGGATGGGATATCAGTTGAAGAATATCCGGTTGACATGAATCAATCAGTTCTCCACAAACTTTGAAATGGAATCCCAACAGTTAAGTGACTTTCTCACCATGTTGACAATACACACAATATAGATAGCTGGGAGCTTGTACTTTCCATTTTACTGTGAAATGATACAACTCCATAGCTTAAATATCCTGCACAATGATTAGCCATACGAAGGATAACACAAGAGCTGAGATGTAAACTATGTAGTCAGTCTATTCAGTATACCATACTCGTCTAGGTTTGGTTAGATCTCATTAACAGAGTTGAAAGTGAAGACAAGTGCTCACCGATAGTAATAGAATAAGACAATGGTGACGCTACTGAGTGAAATAGGAGAAGTTGAAAAAATGTGAACTTACTGGCTGAATGGTACAGTGTGTGCTACGCGACTCGACGGTTCATAGCTGAATCTCACATGAAGTCGTGAATGTACGCTGTTGTGCACCGCTCTCAAGCTTTCAACTATTCTCCGTCTTCAAATCATTCAATTCTACACAAATCTTCAAATATTTATTTATTTCTTATCAGTCTACAGATTAATTACAAATCTTTTTCATAACTGATTGTTCGCTACACAATATCCATGCCATGTATTCAACACATTCAAATGTCATCAAGGTCATTGTGTAAACCGAAGTGTATTTTATGCTGGTAAACAATAGTTCGTCTATCGAAATTTAGATAAATTTGGAGTATAAATATAAACAGGAAGTAATTTCAGTTATCTATAATGAAGATATGAAACTGCCAATAATTTTTTAATCATTACATTATTTGCTCATATTTTGTATATGAATGATTAATACTTCACTTCATCTCTCTATATAGACACTGATAATTGAAACTTTCAAGGTCATGAGGTTTATTTATATTTAGCTAACTACATAGAGTGAATGAATAAATAACAAGGCATAGGTAATGAATGGTACTAGTAGTGATAATTGTCAGAGGAAGTTATTTCATTGATGAAATATATTGAACAAGTTAATAATATGTGCTTGAATGTTAGTGAAATATCTTTCATCTTTAAGAATAGAAGTTAACTTTTAGTAGAGAAAGCTCTTCAAGACTATCGGTGTGGTACAATACGTGTTGAAAGTAATGAATGAGCTGAATAGTTTAGATGTAATCTGAGCAATATTTTATTTTGATTTAACGGAATATGTAGTAGTCATTACCTCTTCATTTTCTTAGAACAGAAGATAAATTCTAGCCCGCATACTTCGACATATTCAACACTAAGGAGAATGAAACTCTACTAGTTATCAAGAATGAATTGATGGAGACTTCAAAGTAGATAATTGGATAAAGAATTCAGTTAAGAGCATGATATGTACCAGAACATAGTTGATTGTTAAAGAATTTGAAAATTCACCATTCACTTAAAAGTCACAGTCGACAGTTTACTGATTCATTACCTTTAAGATGTGGTTGTTGTAGTGGAACAGTTCTATTTTCAGTTTATGATTCAATTTGACTTTTATAATGACAAATAATAACGATAAGTCTGCTGAGTATGATAATTTATAGGGTGAATACCTGATATGCTCGTTCTTTTGTTATTCGCCTTTTTTACACAAATATATCACAATATACACCTTGGTAATCTTGGTTCTATGTAACGCTAACAATTGATGATTTAATAATGGATCGTGGCTAACGATGGAATCCAGGATGCGCAATTAGTCGTATTTCAGACTCACTGGTCAGCTGGATGTACCTGCTACCCAGTAAGTGGTATCGTTCCCCACCGGAATACGGAGTCGGGAGCGATTGCTTCAAACGCCACATCGTTATCCACTACACCACTGAGGCAAGATAGCCACTTCTTGTGCGACGGACATACTTTTTAGTATAATTGTTTTTATATGATACCGTCGTTGATTGGACCGAATAGAACGAAATACTTATCCTGGATTCCACTGCTAGCCACTATCTATCATTAACATAATTAGAACACTGGCAATATCAAGGCATCCACACAAGAGCCCATATGCCAATAGAAACAATCAACGACGGTATCATATATCAACAATTATACTAATTGATGATTTCTCCAAGATATCACTTGATCATAAAGAAGATGAATAGACTAGTATACTTTTTATATAATGAAATATACTATTTCCAAGTAGTATTTCTTACAATTTGTTTGTCTAGTGTATAGTTTATAGATATGTATGTAGATAAACTGGAAGAGAATGTCAATTGAAGTATAAATTTCTTAACAAACAAATCTAATCAGTCTGTTAAGATAATTAATTCTCAATTGTATAATATTATACTTTGAAAAATATTCCATTTTTTAATGAATCTTGTTTTCATTTTTCTACTTGCTTATTTCATTTAATTTACAATCAAAAGGATAATCATTGTAAATATGTAAAATATTTAGTCAATTGAATGAATCAAAATGAATTCAATGATATTCACTATTACTCTATAAAATGAATCATATACAAACAAATGTAAAGTATCATATCAATATATCATTAAATTATTTAATAAAAATATTTTTTCAAATATATTTTAATTTCATTTTTTTATCCTTTTTAATATTATCCTCATCTTTGATTGATGAAATGAGATTAGATAATGATAATGAAGAATTAATATTTACAATTACTGAAGAATTACCTAAAGGTACAATTATTGCATCTGGTAAAAAATTAGGTAATTTATACTTAAGTTTAATTAACAGTAATAATAATAATAATAATAATAATAATAATAATGGTCAACTGGAGAATTCTATTCAAAAACCTCGTATATTAAATATTAAAGATCGTGGAGTAAAATGTTTCAATTTTCAATGGTGTTATTCATCCAATAGACAAGATAATTTTTGTTTAAATGAATTACAATTAATTGTTAATGATCGTATAGATCGTGAAACAATTTGTCCATTAAAATCACATGAATTAACTATAAATGATCATTATTATCAACAACAACAACAATATAATACTAATAACAATAATAATAATAATAATCTGTTGGATAATTATATATTGAATACAAATTCTTTAAATACTAATAATAATAATAATAATAATGATTGTATAATTACCTTAAGAATAGCAATTTTTAATAATGATAATATACAAAAAATTTATCAAATTCATATTATTATCGAAGATATAAATGATAATCCACCTGAATGGAATATGAATAAAATAACAATCTATTTCCATGATAATGATCCACCTGGTACAAAACAATCTATTCCATTAGCTAAAGATGTAGATATTGGTAAAAATGCTAAAATCACTTATGAGTTAGTTAATATTAATGAAAATATAAATATTAGTAAAAATATTAAATATTCATATATATTGGATGAAATGAATAATAATAATAATAATAATAATAATATAAAAATTGACGCTACAGATATATTTGAATTAGTTATAGAAGAAAGAACAGATATAAAACATTTCAATAATGAACGTCTCTTTTTAATATCACGTTATACATTAGATCGTGAATTACAACCACAAGGTTGGGATTTAATTCTATTAGCTAAAAATAATGAAAATTCAATTAAATTAACTAGTCAATTATATATACATATTAATATTACAGATGTAAATGATAATACTCCAAAATTTTTACAATCAATATATAAACCACAATTACCTAATTATAAAATTGGTATAATACCAGAAAATTTTCCTATTGGTAAAACAATATTACATGTATATGCTATAGATGCTGATGAAGGTAGAAATGCTAAAATTACATATAGTTTAGCACCAAATTCTATAAATCACTTAATAGATTATTTTTTTGAAATGACTTATGATGGTCAACTTCGTGTAATTCGACCATTAAATGTTGATATAATAACTGAACACAATATAACTAGACCATATTTACCTACAAATATAATCAATTTTGATATAATTGCTGTTGATGATGCTGGTATAGCATACTCTAAAACAGGATATGCAACAATTCAATTACAAGTAGAAAATATTGATGATGAAGCACCAGAAATAAAAATTCATCCTATACAATCAATACAAAAGAATTTTTTATCAACTAATCATCAATTATATGAAACAGAGATAGAAGTTTTAGAAAATCAACCACCTAATCAATTGATAGCTTTAATTGAAGTAAAAGATCCTGATTGTATAAGTTATAGTATATCACAATGTATATTAACTGGTGTAAATGCTATAGACTTTCGTTTATCATATCAACATTCAATGAATAATGAATATCGATTATATACAGTGACTAAATTAGATCGAGAGAAACAATCTAATATATTATTATCGATTGAATGTAAAGATTTAACCAATCATATTACATCGAATAATATCATTATACATATACTTGATACAAATGATCATGCACCAAAATGTTCTGAACAATTATATCATTTTGCTTTATATGAAGATGATAATGAATTAGATCACTTAGATATAAACTTATTAAATCGTAGTTGGTTCACTTCAAATCAACTTGCATTTATATCGGTTAATGATGAAGATATTGGAATTAATGCTGAAATCACCTATTATATACCAATAGAATTTGAAGAAAAATTAAATGGAAAAATTTCAATTGATTCTAAAACAGGACAATTATTTGCATGGGGTCCATTTGATCGTGAACAAATATCTATTTATGAATTTATTGTAATTGCTACAGACTCTGGTCAACCAATTAAATTCAGTACTAATTGTTCAGTTATTGTAAAAATTCTAGATATTAATGATAATCCACCATTATTTCATACACAATTAAGTATAACTGGTGGTTATCTATTTAGTATACATGAGAATCAATTACCTGGTACACGTGTTGGACAAATTCAAGCTTATGATTTAGACCTTCTACCTGCTACTACACATATTACTGATTTATTTACTCATTTAGAAAAATCAGATTTATATATTCCAAATGAAATGAACACGATAGTAAATAATATTGATAAGAGATTGGTGTATTCATTGAAAAATGAACTAAACTCTCAAGCTTTTCGTATTGATCCTAAAACTGGAGTTATTATTACTCGGTGAGTATTAAAATTTTAAATCTCTGTATGTCATATACATTTCACTTCATCTCTATTCTATAGGTATAATGATAAAATGGTTATGCATTTTTTGACATCTCTAACCTGTGGGGTTAACCAGTCGGAAGTGAAGTGGATGTTAACTCAAGACCTTGGGTGACAGTTGCGTTATGTTGTGAATTGACAGAAGTTGGAAATTGTGAACCACTGGAAACCAACCTAGTGGCTGAATGGTTAACGCGTTCACCGTGAAACCTGAAGCTTCTGAGTTCCATCCGTAGCCGGGTGGTGGGTGCTTACTGTTCAGGAGTCCCATATTAGTCTGACGAAATAGGTGTCCAGTGTTCCCAGGCTTTCAATGGTTCCCTAACTGATGTCAGTCCATGATGAATACTACGTGTAAGATAAAATAGTTCTCCGTCTACAAAGTAACGAACTAAAACGTCTACATAACTGTCTAATGAGTATGATATGTACAATGATGTATATACCGCATTATTGAAACAATAGTTTACCAGTCTCTTCTAGAGGAATGTGATGTAGAATATAGACAATCAAAACGTTGGTTTTAATTTGCTGAAATGTGAATCATGTACAAGAGTAAATGATACTATCAAATCGAGTAGTGATGATACTTATGAAGGTCCTTTGGATACATACATCTAGCCATTGGAAACAAATGATCACTAGAATAATCGAACCTGAACAGTAACTCGAAGTTCAGTGAATAACCTTATGCCTCTCTGTGTACTAGGCAATAAATGTGTTTTGTTGAAGCTAGATTCGTAACTATGAGACATTGTATGAAGTTCGAATGTCTAGACTAATTTCCTTATAGCTTCAGTAACGCTAAACTAGATATCTTTGTTGTAAATGTAAGTCTTTAGTTGTTTTAAAGGGATAAGGCTTGAGTTAGTGAGTGATGAAATTCTATTACACTTGGAATGGAGTTAGTTGTAATATATTGCGATTTGACAGAAGTAAGAAATTATGAACCATTAGCTAAATGATTAACCCGTTAACCGTGAATCTCATACGTTTCTAGATGAGTCATGGCTATGTATTGCTGAGAAATCTCATAGTAGAGTGAAATGGTTATCTAATACTCATAGGTATTCAGAGCTTCTCCAATTCATATCAGTTTGTGATGATTAGTATCTTAGATGTATTTAACAATAAACAGAAAAGAACTCTTTGTTTATGGGGTGTAAAAATCTCTTACTCAATGATTATTCAGTCTGTTCATCTATTTCGAAAGACTAATTTATCACCAATATATCGAAAAAGACATAAGTTCGTTAAAATAACAGCGTGTAGGGGAACAGTGAAGCTGAGAGTGATCAATGACTTCCTGTTTCTGAATATTCTTTGCTTTCAACTTACTTGGAATGTACAAAACCAATCAAGTGTAGTATACAAGTTACATATACATACATGAACTCAAGCACTCACACATCGACAGTTTTTCTTTGAGTTGTTTTTCTATACCACAACATTTTCCCCATAAGCAGCATTATTATTATTAATGCTATTTTCATTCAGGTTTCACCCTTATTAAGAAAATGATATATGATGGGAAAATGTCTGCATTTATCAGAAAATCTCCCCATAAGAAAATATTTATTAATTAAGCTTTTAGAATTATGCAAATATGTCTTAGCTTCTATACAAATAACCTTACTCACTCACTCACTCACTCACTCACTCACTCACTCACTCACTCACTCACTCACTCACTCACTCACTTTTTTGCTTGCTCGACTGTATCGCCATCAACTGTCCCTCTCATCTTTCACTATACTCATCGTCACAATAATAATAATAAATCATGATAAATAATTTTAAAGAAGTGAGTGTTGACAGACAACATCACATTGAAGTATAATGTGAATGGATCATTTGCATTTCAGTCAGAATAGATGATAATTGATATTGAATTGAATAATTTTCCTATTGATGTTAGTGTTCAAATTCACTTGACTGGGTGGTTTAAAGCCAACAATAATCTGAAAAATAGCTAATCATGTGATAGGTTGATTTTTACATTCTGATTGTCTTTTGTGTCCTTTTTTGTTGTTGTTGTTATCATTGATTAATTCGCTTTTTATGGATATGTAGGTAGGGGGATATCAGAAAATGTTTATCCCTTAGTTATATCATTCTTTGAAAAGAATAAAAATGAGCGCAAAACTATAGTGTAAAAATTTCAACCGAGTTCATAGTAAGATGAGTTGTTAGTTGAATGAAGACAATCGTCAGGAACCTTTTCTCAGCCTAGGTTTCGTTCTTGTTGGCACTCATCAGCATGGTTTACCTTCACCTTCAGCGGAACTAATGTCCCGTTTGAGGTTCTAGCTTGTATCACCCAGCACTGCAGTTACAGACGTTACCATTTAGCTATTCGGGTAGTGATTGACCTCATGCAGGAATAGATTAGGTTTGTAACCAGGGAGTTATCGACTTCATGTTGTCTACTCCTGAATGGTGATCCACTGCTTTCGATTATTATGCAGTACCCTGAGACAGATGTTAGTTGGTTAAAGATAATTGGCAGGAAGATCTGATTAGAAGGCATATGTAACTGCATCACTGAACACTAGTCCTAGTCGGTATATATCTAAACGTTTTGCTCACATGAACTACTTCAGACAGGCGTTACTGAGCATCTTCAAGTCTCAGACCTATTTCTTTACCGTAAAATCCCTTGGCTGTTTGTTAAACACACTTCATATGTATGAGTTACACAAATCATCATGTTAGGATATTGTTCAATTTTCCTCTACTCAAATTCTATTCATGTTTTATTAAGTGTAGAAATGTATAAATTCACAAAAGTTTTGATTTCTCCGCAAAACTAAACAACAGTAAATTTACTTGGTATTGAATATAGATAATCCTTTTGAGAAACCTGACAGATTTTGAACTGCTCAAGTCCCAACATATCAAGACATTCATTCAAGCCTCTTACTTAAACAGATATGCAGTATAGGCATATTTAATAAGGTGGGGGAAATAATACAGTAGCATTCTATCCACCACAGTTAATGCGGTCCCAACAGTATACAGTAAATATGTCCATGTTTGTCCTATAAACCATAATTATATTGGCATTTACATTCTGTTTATGAGTATACTTTGTAAAAATTGGATCCCATTACTTGATAAGTCAAACACCAAAGGTTTCTATCAAGCTCATAAGCAGCCTTCCGTTACGACAGGTTCACTACTCTGATTGGTTCAACCAGATTTCTGTTAGAAACTACCCACCAGTCGAGATCACAAGGTTTAATCTCTGAAATAAAAGTATCATTAATTGATAGAATATACTACTGTACAACTTGAGTAGTTTGTAACCACTCGGGTTGATTTGTAGTTTTCCCTAGACATATGAGATTGATCTTTACACCGGATGTCTATTTCGTTCGTTTGAATTCAGTTAACAACCAAATTATTCAGATCATCTAAACTTGTCTAACTAACTTGCCCTACAATAGAATGATTAATTTGCAAATAACTTAAAAATTGTACGGTATCAACAAGATTGTGTAAAGTTAATTCATCCTGGTACATTTGTGATGAGTTAGTTTGACCCTAGAATGAACGAAACTGCCATCCGTTAGGCTGATCTCAGCTGGTGAAATTCACATATCATTCAGAGTGGTTTTTAAGTATTATATATTTTGTCATAATATATTCTGTCTAAGAGTTTTCCATTCTTTCAAGTTCATGGAATCATGTTGACAACTTGAAAGTCAGTCAATTGACCTATTCATTCATTCAAGTACAGTCTAGTCATTTCTATATAGATTTAGTCACAGCTGTGAAATAGGCTAGTGTATATAGCAAGCCAAAAAAGTCTGTGAGTGTGAAAACCAATGGATTATAAGCATAAGTAGACATGCTTCAAAATCACATTGATAGAAATTCATTTGCATAACTTAATGGATATAATAAAACACAGACGATAATTTATAAACCATTTTAGAAATTGTATTTTTAACAAAAAAAAGTGTTTACTAATGCTTAAACAGGGAAATGAGAAGAAGGGAATGAATGATTTGGAATATGATGTTCATCAGTCTTGTCTGTAGGTAAATCTTTAACGAAATTTGACAGAGTATATAGTATAAACACAGAATATCATCAATAAAACTACTTTATGTTGAAAAATCAAGGGATTCAGTTGAGCTCTATGGTATATAACTTCTCAGTATGGACAACTAGTTAGCTGTTAAACATCATTTTAAGCGTTATGATCTACATGAAGTGATCTGCCTAAAAGAAGTATTGAATCATTTCACTGCCTCTTAGCCATCACCTATAGACTTCACGATATGATAATTATTTGCTGATCAAACTAATTTATTACCTTAATTTTATAGCTGCAAGTATATCCGTCTGATGAATGCCAGAGAAGACAAAATACATGGCCTGTGTTCTAGTGTTAATCACTATCTATCAACACCATCACATTACAAAGTTTTCCTATGGTCAACAATTCCAAATCAAGCATTGGTTGACATATAGTGTTGGAAACATTATAGCAGTAATGAGTAATGTCATCAGCCTAATTTCTTTTGAATCTGTCTTCGTATGTTAATATTTCTTTGAAAATTGTCAATTCATTTATAATGTATTAGTAGGGTCCTTTAAGAAGTATCAATACACATGTTCACATAATCCTTCCTCTTAAGGATCCTCCCTAATCTCTAAGCTTTTCTATTGACTTCAATAAATATGAGAGATTAAAAGCTGAATCTACGGTATCACTTGGTCTATACATAATTTCCCTTTCACCTATGGTTAAGTTGATCACTTACAACATATAGTTCTTTTAAGTCAATTTTTTCTTTCAAAGTTGTCTTTCATCGGAGTAATCTACAAAATAAAGAAAGGTAAAACAGGTAACTTCGCTATCTAACAACTTATAGATTCCAAGTATTTATACCTCGATTATTATTATTATATTATTTGTCACTTGGGTTCCTAATGGAACAGAC